ATCATCTCGGAGGAAGGAAGACAGATGTCTCAGCCGGCTTATCTAGAAATTCCTGCATTTCTCTCACACGTGACCTTTACCTGGGTCATCTTTCTTGCAACTCAGCCAAATCATTATGATGGTCACCGGCTTGACCTGCCCTTGAAATGGATTCAAAATCTGGCCCAAGCTGTTTGGTGGATAGAAGAAAGTAAAATGCTTATAGTCCTGTTCTGATTGTCGGGATGCTAAGGCTATAATTCAAGTCATTAGGCTTAGTATATAAAGCCCTTCGTAATCCAAGTCTTAAGAATCTGAAAGGTCACTTGTGGTCCAATAATCCTGAATAGAAAATGTGACGAGCAAGTGGTGACTGTCTTGATCCTAAAGCACCTCTTAAAATAAACGCTGGTCTCTGCCCCGAAAGCATATGCACGTTATTTCAGCGTGACCCAAGAGGCTGTGCAAAGAATAAGCCGCTTGACTGTTGCGTAACATCATGTGACATTGATTTTTTGGAAATTATTTTAATAACTGGACCGAAGGAATAGAGGGGAGGATGCTCAAGGTTTTAAAGACACACCTTCCTGTGGCTGCAGTGGTCCAGTGCAGAGATCTCTGCTGCAGACTGCTCATCACCAACATCCCCTAAATCCTCCCCAAAATCTGCCAGTGCAGCTGTTCATGCAGATAAAAGGAGCAAAGGTGGCTTAGGTGATGGGAACAGCGGGGCGTTGCTCATCCCCTGGTCCTGACACAGCGCCGGAATCATTCATCCGAGAGAGCGTTCGCACAAGTGATGGGGCAGTGGGTGTGAGGAGGGGGTAACATCTGGCCAGAGGTGCAGCAGGTGGCATTCAGCAGGCAGGGGTTTGAGAAGATCTGGCAGATCCCAAGTGCCTGTAGCCCAGCTGTGACCAGCTTGCAGGGATCTGAAAGGCAGCGGCTTTGCAGAGCAGCCCAGGAAGGGGGTCTGGTAGCTGGCTGGTGCAGGATGGGTGTGTGGAAGGAGCCCTGGGGTAGTTCTGTAGGAGGAGAGGACGAGGGGCAACGAGGCAGACCTGGGGGAGGCAGGCATGGACTGATGGGGTAATGTACAGGGTCGATTCCACATGCGATTGAGCATGTGTGTTGCTCTATCGCGATTAGGGAGCTCGGTCCTTTGCCTAGCTCCTTGACATCTCCTCAGGAAGATGCCAGAGGGGTAAAGAAATGGAGTGGGAACAGTTAACTGTTTATGGGACAGCTTGTAGTGTCTCTTCTTGGTTTTTTCATCCACATTTTTGTGCTGAGGGAGGTTAGATGCCGGCTGGGAGGAGGGCAGCTGACTGTTTTTCCTCTTTAATATCTCCTTGCCTTTCAATTTGTTCGGTATTTGGAGTCATTTCATCTTTATATTGTATTTATTCAGTGGTGCTCTGGATATGGTTATTTCTGTGCCCTGAAGGGTCTACTTTTCCATTCCATATTAATATATAACTTGTATTAACATTGAGGCATGGTGCATTCATAAAGGAGCACTGAATAGCTAAACTGTATTTAAATACCTGTGACCCCTTGGCTTTTCTATATGGAATGATTATTAATACTTTGTCCTTGCTGTCTTTCATCAGAGGATGCTGCCACACAAGGCATAGATGGGGAGGTCTGATCATCCCTTTATTACAGACGGGAAAAACAGAGGGAAAGGGAAGATTAAAAGATTTGCCAGCAACACAGAGCAATCACTGCCTGTGCTGAAAATAGAAACCAGGCTCCTGGTTTCCATTCCCCAAATCTGGCCTCTAGACAACACAACTATATTAAAAATGTAAATGCAAATATAGAAAATACTTCCTTTTTCAAACCTTCCCCACAAACATTTTGTGTCCTTTTTACTCTCTGCTTCACAGAATAAGCTGGTAGCACTTGGATCCGAGACTCCGTAACCAGATGGGCTGCGTTCCCTGGATGTAGTGAAGGAAACTGGACTGAACCGCCGAAACCTCAGAGTGACCAAAAAGCTCATGGCAGAAGGTGGGAGGAGGAGGCTTGTGTCTATTTTGAGACAGAAAAGTATTCAGTAGCTGTAGGCTACTGTTCAAAATACTTTGATTACTGTATTTAAGGAAGCCAAAAGTGATACTGTTGGGACAGTCCCCCAGCCTTTGTATTCTAGAAAACACTGGCTCTGACAAGGTACTGCAGATGTGAAGCATCTGGCAGCTTAAGGACATGCAGGCATGTTAACTGCTCGGTGTTAAGTTTTCAGGTGATGGGTAAATCGAACACAACTGAGGTTGGAGCTACATAAGCAGAAGGGAGTGGGGAATTGAGTCTCACTGAGGTACTTGCAGGGCCTCTTGCTCCTCAAGCCAGAGATGCTGGCAATACCATTAATGGTCTCATTCCTTTGGGTTTGTCCCAGCTTTATTTCTGTTCCCATATTGTTCCTCTATGCTGTAAACAGGCTTGATGATCAGAAAAATAAAAATAGCATGTGGATGCAACCCAACGAAACAGCCAGAGCAAACTTCATGGGAGAAACTGGATTTAGAAATGCAGCCCTGAGTCATGCCCACGAGAGCCCATGTTAAAGGCTTTTTTAAGAAGCAGTTAGAAAGCAGACTCCTTTTAAAGACTCTTCCCTGGGCTCGTTACAGGGCCTTAACGCTGCAAATGGGGGCTGAATCTGGCAGTGTCACTCTTGTGCCTGTCTTTGTATGAGTAGGGTGTGAGACGTAGCTGCACTCATTCAGAAACCCCTGTGGAGCCGGTGACAGCGGCGCACGATTCACCCCTGTGTCCAGCAGAATGGTGAGCGTGGCATGGAGGGGTCACGGACACGGAGGGCCTCCCTGCTCCGCATCCCAAATTCCTCATGCTGTTAATGGCAAGCTGTAATGTAAAACTCAGCTGATGTCAGGGGGACAAGAGTTGGCCTTGGTGAAGGTGATGCGCCTTCCCTAAGACATCTCATCCCCGATCTCAGCTTTGCTTCCCATCATCTCCTGGTTCACTAAGCCTTTGGAGCTCTAAGACTATTTTAATGTCTGGGAAGTTCAGAAAACCTCTGTTGTGTCACCTTCACGCTCGTAGTTGATAAACTACGAGCAAGATGATAAACCACAGCAAGAAAAAAGCAGTTTTCATTAGCAAAACTGTTGCCTTTTCCCTTTTTTTGTTGGCTTAGGAGAGCAGAAGCTTCACCGACGAAGGCTGAACATGATGCAGTTTTCAGTGCTCAGCCGGCAGCTTCTGCAGTACATCCACGTTTTGTGAGGTTCATCACGCTGTAGCCACCAGCGCTGAATATTTTACTGGCTCAAGACTGTATGTCTCTGACCTCATTAGGCTTTTACTGGCTAATAGTTTATGGAGCAAACCAATAGGGGTTCATTGCCTGGTTCCTGAAGAATCGCTACCAGGAGGGAAACGAAGCTGGCTGGTGCTGTAATCCTTCTTCGGGGTGGGCAGGCGCCTCATTCCCCAACTGCAGGTTGGTAACTGTCCCCGTTAACCTGGTCCGATCATGCTGCTTCATTTAACTTGGCGTTACTGGTTGGATTAAATATTAATCTGTAACCCCGAAAGGCACGTGGTGCCCCTTTGGCTGGCAGTGTGGCGCAGTGATACGTTAGCACTCCCAAACCCCACAGTTTGCAAATCCCTCAAAGGCTGCCTGGGGAGGTCTGGGTTCCTTTAAATCAGCGCTCGACCAAATGGAAATGGGCTCGTCTCTCAGCACTGCCGCTTCTGACACTACACGTTGGAAACCACCGGCTGGATTTTACAACTGCAAGTCATGTTTCAAGCACTCCATGGGTGATAAAATACCCAAATTGTGATAGATTGAGTTACTTTATTATCTGCTGGGGGCACATTTACTGTGTTGGCCTTTCTGGGACGCCTGTTAGCGATGGCTGCGATTCTGCTCTTGCTTCTATCACTGTCTCATGTGGCCTTTGACCTAATGCTTTCCCTTTTCCATTTGGGTTTTCCTTCTGTAAACCAGGGATAATAGCAATTTGCTGGAGTGCGCTTCACAGCCAAGTGAAGGGTGAAGTGCTGCCGCTGGAGAGCGGCTCGCACCGCTGCAATGCGTGATGGACCCCAGGAACCAAGACGGCAGCAGAACTGTGATGGGGCTTTTCAACAGACGATCTACGCAGGGCTGGAGAAGCTGGCATTCCACTTAACACCGTTTAAGCACTTTAACCTTCCTCTGAGAAACAGCTCTGGGCAGAAGCCCCCAAACCCCTCCAATCTCAGTAAGAGCTGGTGCTCCCCAGCTCTGTTACGAGACAGAAGCTCACGACAAGCAGCTCCAGCCTGAAAGACAAAGCTTGTAGGTGGATTGATGGCTCAAAGGCTCTTGCTGGTTTCAGGATCAAGATCATTTTGGCTGTGCAAGGAGCAGAGGGGTTTAGGTGATGGGATTTGGGCCTGAGCTTGCTCAGGGCTGCCCCGGCTTCACTGCACCAGGCTGTCACGGCTGTCAGCATGTGTTAATTAACTCAAGGGAAAGGTCTGGGGCAGCTTGTGCTGCTTCAAAGGGCTGTTCAGGGTAACATTTAAAACACAGTCTGCAAGAAAAATAAATGGAGAAGGGCTTTAGTTTTTTCCTGTGGTGAGCTGCGGAGGAGAGAAAGTGCTGCCGAGGCCACCCACGCCACTGATGTGCCCTCCGCATGGGTCCTGCAGCTTCCCAATCCCCCCGGCTTCCCCAGGCACAGCCCCCCTGCACCCTCGTTCTCGTTGAGGGGGGCTGCGTGGAGATGGGGAGGAGAAGCCCACTCAGGGGCAGGGCAGGTGAGAGAGAGGGAATGGTGTTTGCAAGGCTGCAACCTGAAAAACCCAACCTGGAGACCTGGCCTTGGCGAGGTTGGCTTTTGTTTGGTGTGTAGCGGCGCGGGACCGTGGAGGCGGGAGGCTTTGCCTGCCCGTGATTCCGTGTTTGCTTTGGAAGAACTGCTGGTCTCAGGCTCGGTGGCTGCCAGGGAGGCAGCGGTGGTGTGAGGATGCGAGGCTGGTGCGGGGCGATGGCGGGCAGCAAGGGTTCTTCCCGCGGCGCCGGGGACGGCAGCGGGCCTTTACCACCCAGGCACAGGCTCAGTGTGCGGAGCTTTCCGTGCAGGTGAACGCCGTGCAGGGCAGCCCGTGGAACCATCAGGGAGCAGATCGGGGCAGGAGGGGGTTTTTTAGAGAGAAAAGGGAGGGGTGGGAGCTGAAATCTTCATGCAGAAAAGAGAGGAGTGAAAAAGTGTTTATCTTAAATATGTCATGGTTGTGCATAATTAAGCACCAGCTGAAAACTGGGATTGAAGTTTCAAGGATCAGAGACTGGGCAGATGGGATGAGAATGCCAGGGAAGGAGAGTTTGGGAAGCACAGAAAATCCTGCTTTAAGATCTGCTGCCAGCTGGGTTTGCTGGTGGTGCTGGGGGAGGAGGAGCCCAGTGTGATGGTGAAGAGCAAACCCTAAAGCCTCAGGAAAGAGTAAAAGGCCCGAGAGCAGAGTTTTGGCCAGGCTGGCCCCAGGGGAGGTTAAATGTCACAGCCCAGTGCTCATCAGGTGAAGCAGCTTCAGACTAGGGCAGGGCATGGAGCATTCGCCTCTGCTGCGAGCTTATTTCATTGTATTCACCTTGAAAAATATGCTGGAGTGAAGGAATTGGGTGACCTGCCATGGGACTGAAGCCTCTTCTCTAAAGCAGAAGTTAAATTCTTCCCTGTTTGTTGCAGAAAGCCACCAGATGCCCATAAGGGCCATCAGTTTGTTAGTGCTGCCCACCTACTGAGGGTAGGGGATGCAGTTACGCGTGGCGGGACTTGGCTGCAGGGTTGGGGAGCACATCCCAGCTCCTGTATCTGCTGGTGAACAGCACGATGCTTCTCAGAACTGCCAGGTGATGCTCTGGGGACAGACTTATCCACCTGATAACATGCAGTCCTGAGTATCACAGTGCAAGTTTTTGAAGGCTCTCTCTCCTGATTCCTGCAGGAGCAAGGCTCGAGCGGCGAGCTGTTCCCAAGGCCCCTTGCTGTGCAGTTACAGTACGATGCATCCAGAAATGGTGATTATCACCATCTGAATTTTAACCCCACCTTCCCACTGCTGGCTCCAAGGGCAGATGCAGGGGAGGAGACCTCGTTTCTGCTTTCTAGTCCTCTCTGCCCAAGGGTGCCTGATTTGGGAGGGCTGGGCTTCCAAATAATCAGACACAGCCCAACGAATGACTTCCTTTCCCAGCTACAAATCCATGGGTGGTTTGGTCTGGGGCACTCTGCGTAAGGGCTATTCTTTTGGTGCTTCCCTTTCCGTAATTTCCCCGGTGACTCATGACATGACCCTGCCCCGACTGGGGAGGTTCAATTTTTTTTTTTTTTTTTCCAAAGAGAGATCATTTACTCCCAGATAAAGATTAATTTTCATTTTAATTTTTAACTTAAATCTCATAGGTGAAAATGCTTTTGTAAGCCATCTAAGATGCTGTTATCTTTGCCCAGCTCTGCCTCTTTCATGGGTTGCTTCACTCCGCAGGTAATGAGTAACCTTTCCTCGCGCTGGGCAGGCTGAGGGCAGAGGGCTGGGGGGTGTGTGGAGGGGTCCCCTGATTGCTTCCTTGCTCCCTTCTGTCTGGGAACCACAGCCATGTTTAGTGCCAGAGTGACATCTCTCTGCCTCTTGCTGTTGATAATTCTTACGGTGCGAGATGACGCCGTTCCCACACCGTGTCCCACGTACCTCCTCTCTGCAGGAGGAGCCCTAAAGACCTCCCAGAAACGACCGCAGCGAAAGGGTAGGAGCTGAGCCAGCCCCAGGGGAGCGGGGCTGCGGGCACAAGGGCTGCATTCACAGCCCAGCCTTGACACGGGCTCCGAGGCCGTCCCGGGGCACAGCCCTGAGCTCAAAGCCACATAGACCTGTCATTGTCCCAGCAAGGACGCGAAGGCGCCTGCCCAGACTCCCAGGCTCCTGCTCTTACCGCAGATGCTGTTGTTTGTAATGCAAGTGGTTTGGGATGGACGGACGGCTCCCAGGCGGTGCACGGGTTGAGAGAGGACTGGGCATGAGCTGGGATCACGTCCTCCCCAGTCTGCACGTGCCCTGCCTGAGGTGGATGAGAGAGTCCAGGTTTGGTTGCGCGTTGTGCCCAATGTAAGCGTGACCCTTGCTGCACCTTGGAACAGTCCAAAAGCATCCTCAAGGCTGATACCACCTCCTATCACCTCATGGAGCAGTACAAGATCCTTGTGATCCAAAAGGGCTCAAAAATAGAGGTGTCAAGTGCTCTTTTTCTACCTGTGGGACCATTGCATCGTTTGTGGGAGCAGGGTAGTTTTACAAAAGTGATGTGTGTTTCCACTGATGTCTCTGACAGGTCTCACTCTGTTAGACGCTGCCAGAAACCAGTGGGGACAGCAGATCTTTTACCAAGCCTTCCACATGCATATTGATTCAATAATCCGTCTCATTCCAAGGCATGAATTCTATATCCCTTTTGTTGTGTATAGGGTGAAAGAGGTACCAGTTAACACGGGGAGCAGGAAGAAATGCCCCTCAGTAACAGACCCACTCGTGAAAGAGGGAGGCGTGACATGGAATTGCACCTTTGGAGTTTGCAGCAGTGAATTAGTTTCCACCAGCCTCTGATGGGGGAAAGAACAAAGAGGCAGTCAGCAACTCTGCATGTTACTGGGCTTTCTATAGTGTAGCCTGCAGTAAGGGAGAGTAAGAACTGTAAAAGTGCCTTGTTAGGTGTTCTACACTGGGCTGGCAGGTCATTCAAGCCAGGCTATAGAGCTGCCCTGATGTAAGGAGAGGCATCTTTCTGTCTGCACACTGCAAAGGTCTTCAGGGCAGCTCAGATTCAAAGTGTCAATAAATGGGAAGAGCGCAGAGATAAGCAACAGAGCTCTGAATCTGCAGAGGCAACAAATGGGTCCCGAGTTTTTTGCGTGTGAGGGTTTCCCAGTTCTGTTTCCCTTCACTGGGAGAAAATGCTTCACTGCAAGGACGTAGGAAGGTGGAAGAGGAGGGAAGATGCTGTCTGCCAGCTTCATGTATGGCCCGGAGCAAACCTCTTCGCCTGCAGGACCTGCTTCTCCTTCGCTGTACCCTGGGATAGGCAATGCCAGCCTACCCTGAAGGATGATTTTGGGATCAGCATTTGCAAGATGAAGAGCCAGAAAGCACAACGTGAAGAGCTCTCTGTTCGGAGAAGAGGTTAGATGAAGAGGATGGGAGAGAGGGATGAAGAGCAAATCTTAAGAGAAATGTCATGACCGATGCCTAATATTAAAGGAGATAAAGACAAGTCACTAATAAGGTAAGAACAAGCTTGTTCTTAGTTATTAGTTACCTTTGTTTCTAGGGTGTTGACTGCCAGCATGTACCTATTAAAATTATCCTCTGGGGACAGTTCTGAGATTATTTTCAGTGCCAAATGCGTTTTTAAAAGACTGTGAGGTTTTAAACATTTCCGTATGACCAAGGAAACTGTTAAATCCCAGCTCTGCAGAGGGTGATGTTAAGTATAAGCAGTGCTTACGTAAGAACTACTCGCACATTGAAAACTCTAAGTATCTGCATCGCATCAGACTGATGGACCTAACTTTTGGCATCTTCCTTGTGTTGTGAAACACTTGAAAATATTCGAGTGTCCACGTAGCCAAATTGAAAGATGGATGCCTAATGGGTTGCCAAAATAGCTTGTATTTCTTATTTGTGTTGCCAGTTTTGCATGAGAATAGGAATGAATACGGCGCAGCCCTAAGAAGAGATGTAGGAGAAATCATTTGAAGCGGTGAATGACTGGGATTTACGCAAGACGAGGTTCTCTGTAGGAATCGCTGTTGCCTCTCATCTCCTTTTATGGGACACCAGGCTTGATCTCACCATAGCTTTATGCAGTTTCAACTCTGTTGCTCTCAGTCAAGTCTTAACTCCTTGTAAGGCCTGGCAGGACCGTGTTTTATGAGCCCCCGGAGAGCGCCTCCTACCCGGCGTCTCACATCTCATAATAAAATCCTGCGGTGCCTTGGCTGGAAAGCTACGGTGCAGCAGAAATAGAGAGCGTGGTATTGTGGTAATTTCCTAAGGCAAGGTGAAAGAGCAATGGTTTCTTACGCCTTCCTATGTCTCTCCTTGGTGAATCGTATTATATATCTCTCTGAATTAATTGCAACAAAGCTTTTATTTAACTTTTTGTAATACGTAAGGGCACCTCTGCTCATTTATCCTCTTGTGATGGACAGCAGCGTTACAGCCTGCCCGGTCAGCAATTGCTGCATAGCTGGCTGGCAGATCTTGGGGATGCTTTCTTGGTGCTGGTGGTGCCCAAAACGCCTTGTTACCTTCGGCTTCTTTTAGCATACTGAGGAAAACGGGCCCAGCCAGCTCAGAAAAACAGTGGCTTTATGGAAGCTGTCGGGTTAAGCAGACCAGTGATTATTTGCTTTGCTTCCTCTTTCACTGAAGTGTCTCAGGGCTTTGTCTCTGGCATCCCTCCAGCCCTTCTGGCCACAGGAGGAGGAGGGAAGGCAACTCTTCATCCATCCTCGCAGGACTCCTGGTGATGAACTCCACACTCTGATTTTTCTCTTCTAGATTTCAGAGGAATATGGCCTCGTGTTCACCATCCATTTGGGGGTTCAGAAGGTGGTGGTGCTGACTGGCTACGAGGCAGCAAAGGATGCCCTTCGGAACATGGGGAATGTGTTTGAGGACCGGCTGAATCCATGTTCTGCCACATCCCACATGGAAACGGGACTGGCGGGTTGAAGAGATAAGGATGCGCTTGCTCTGCTGTTTCTCAAATGTGTTGTTTCAGTTGCAGCAGTATTTAAGAGCCTTGAGCTGCACCCCCATTGTCGAGGGCTACATTCTGTGGGGCTTGGGGCCAGTTGTTTGTTTTCTTAAGAAAAATACTTCTGTGGATCTTCTTATTTGCCTTATCAGTTCTTTTGCTTTTAGTGGCACTTGGGTCACATTTCAAGGTTTGGTTTTTTCACAGCACAGAGGGAAGGAAATTACTTTTCGCCACGTGAAGGCTGAGGTTCTTATGCAATCTCTTTTCTACAGTTACTGGGAGTTCAGACAAAGCGTGGATCACGCATGACTCACGATAAAGACTGCAAGAACTGGCAAGAGTGCAATAGCACGGGCTGTTTGTACCTCAAACAATTACTTCTGTAAACAGATTTTTGGCATGTTTCTGAATTGCATGTTAAAAAGTAATACATTGCCCAAGACTAGACATTGAAAAACAATGAAGGGAATAATCCAGGGCTGAAAGGAAAAGATCTGATGACCTAATACATATATAATGCATACAGCTTGTGGGTTTTTTTTCATCTTGTTTTGAGTGAGGGCCATGTGAGGAAAGGTGCACTACGCTGCTTTCCCAACTGGGCTATGAAGATATAGACTTTGTTCAGCCCTGGAAACCGTCCTGGGAAGGGAGGACTTCTGAATTTTACCCAGACACCTCCGTACCCTCTTGGCTGAGCACTGGTTTTGGCCGACGGATTAGCCAGAGCGGGGGGGTATTTCCCAGCTGCAAGCAAAGGTGCCTCCCTGCCACCCCTCCTTGTCCCCATGCACAGTACGCAGTTCATCCTCTATAACACAAGTTGTGCATTGAAATAATTTGTCCTGTTCGCAGCACAGATGGAGCGGTGTCATCTGCTCCCGGCCTTGCTCTCTGAAACAGCTGGGTCATTTTTCTAAGTAAAACCAAGTCAGCCTGAGACAAATACCATGCATAGAGCTTTTTACTGTGTATGGCTGCTGAGAGACAAAGCTACAAACAAGGCAAACCCAGATTTTTGTGTCAGCAGCACCCAGCGGTTTAAAATATAGCCTTCTGCCCTCCTGAACCTACCTGAGGCGGTGCTTTCCCAAGCCAGCCCCGCACAGAGCCCCCAGCCCTCTCACAAGGAGACTCATCCACAATGAAAAATACCTTTGCCCCCAGGCTGTGCTTTTGATGTTGCTGAGAAAACCCTGTACTGCCTTGGCAAACAGGGCATGCAGTCCCTCCATAGGTGTGTTCTTCTCTTCTCAAGAGCTCTGGAAGACGACGCGGTTGTTCACCGTAGCCACCATGCGGGATCTCAGCACAGGGAAGCATCTTGGAGAAGAAAGGATGCTTGAGGAGCTTCACTTTCTCATCCATTGATCAAATCCTCCAAAGGTGAGCTGGAGAAGGCTTTGGGTGTTTCATGCTACTTTATAAAACCACTGTGAAGACTCCTCAGTTGCTCCAGGGCTTTGGGTGTTTCATGCTACTTTACAAAACTACTGTGAAGACCCCTTGGTTGCTCCAAAAATGACCAATACAGTTAGGATTTTGTTCCTTTCTAGGTGGACCCTTTCGATTACGATTTTTGAATATGGCGTCCACCAACTTCACCTTTGCTGTTCTCTTTGGGAGAAGGTTTGATTATGAAGACCCAATACCTTTCTAGGTGGACCCTTTCGATTATGATTTTTGAATATGGCTTCCACCAACTTCACCTTTGCTATTCTCTTTGGGACAAGGTTTGATTATGAAGACCCAACGTTTCTCACTCTGTTAAGACTCATAGATGAAGTTACGCACCTTCTTGCCTCTCCGTTCTTGCGTGTAAGTTACCCTCTGTCCTGAGATGCTCCAGTATCTCGTCAGAGTTGGTCAACAAGATTTACTATTGCTGGATGGTTTTGGAGGATCTTTATGTTACTGAAACATAAGATTCATAAAATCATAGATTGGTTTGGGTTGGAGAAACCTTTAAAGATCATCTGATGCATCCCCCTGCCATGGGCAGGGATGAGATTCTTTGTTTTGGGTTTTTCCTCCTTCTTGCAACCCTCCTGTGAAGGGGGTCCAACACCACGTGGTGGCACTGGGCTGAGATGCTGATGTGACCATGCCAGCAGAAGGGATGTGCTTCATTCTTCTACAGCCAGCAAGTGCAATAACTGAGGCTTCCAGCATGCTGGGACCTGGGGTGGGCAGCATGGTGTTTTACAGTCTGGGTTTATCTCTCATTATCCTACTCTGATTTGACTGGTAACAAATTAAATCAATTTTCCTCAAGTCGAGACTGTTTTTCCCATGATGGTAACTGGTGAACGATCCCTCCCTGCCCTTATCTTGACCCACGAGCCTTTTGTTGCATTTTCTCTCCCCTGCCCAGCTGAGGAGGGCAGTGACAGAGCGGCTTTGGGGGCACCTGGTCTCAGCCGGGTTCAGCCCACCACAGAATCTTATTCTGCAGCCAGTTTATTTATAACATTGAGAAATGGTGTAATTAACCCCCCTACCCATAAAATGCAACTGCTTATGGTGCTGTGAAATTTAACAATGCTGAGAACTGAGTGTAATTGATTTATAATTCATGTGAAAGTTAAAAATGATGATCTAACAACTTTAAAACGTAAGTAGTTTGGCTTGCTAAACATTTGGAGTTGTCTTTAATGTGTATTGCTTTATCTTTTTGCTTTATTGCCTCTTTAAAAATGTGATTTCATTGTTTTGTGAGTTTACTATCACTTTCCCTTAATTGTATTTTTTTTAATTCATGTTTATTGGCGCTGTCTAGACAAGTGTGATAGGCTCCATTCATTTCTGTTGAGAATTTATAATAAGAGGAGGCATTTTTATACGTTAAAATTTTTTAGTTACCAAAAAAGAGAGACTCCAATCACATGTTGGTTCCTCACATAAATGATTTCTCCAATATGATACTTGAGTTTTACAGGGTAATGGCTGACTTCCTTTTTTTTTCTGTGATTTTTTTTTCCTTTTTTTCTTCTCAGTTATTTAATTTTTACCCATTCCTTGGATCTGGGTGGGGAGGGGGCAAAATCTCTAGCTGAAAACCGAAGCATTTCTGTACAGAAATGTCAATGCAGTGCGTCTTGGTACTTCACATTCATCCCACTGTAATGTCTCTGAAGACTAGGTTACCTGTCCCAGTTCTCTCTTTCCATGCTAACAGCAATGTTTTTTTCCTCTGTATTTCCCTAAAGGAGCAAAATAAAAGCAATACACTTTTTCATGATGCAAATATATTGGCCTCTGCGCTCGATCTGCTCATGGCCAGCACTGAGACAACATCCACAACGTTGCAATGGGCCATCCTGCTGCTGCTGAAGTGCCCTGAGGTTCAAAGTAAGACACCTTTATGGTTTTGCTTGTCTTATATAGCATACTGAAGTGACTTCAGAAGTGATGTTCCCCTGTGAAACCTTCATAGCCTCTCACGTATGTCAAGGCATACAAAATCTGACCCTCTGGAACCTGTGCACCTCCATCCAAGTGCTGTGTGCTGCCATTCGGGACCAAAGGGTCTGAGGGCTTGTTCTCCGTCTGCTCCCAGGGGCTGCAAACCTTCTGCCCTTGGGCAGCCCAACCAACAGTCAGCACGAGCTGGGATTTGCAGGTGCTTTACCACTGAGGGAAACTCACTCGATGCCTTTCCTTTGCCCTGCAGAAAAGGTGCACGCAGAGACTGAGCGAGTTCCAGGCCCTGGCTCCTTGCCTACCTTTGAGGACTGGAAAAACATGCCATTTACCAACGCGGTGATCCATGAGGTGCAGAGATTTGTCACCCTCCTGCCCCATGAGGGCCCTCAGCATGGTTCCTTGTGAGTCTTTGGCCCTTTCTGGGTGCCTGATTGGTGCCTGCTGTGATGTGGGACGTAACAGCTCTGCCCAGACCAGTGAAGACACTCCCCCTGCCCCCGCCCCCATTTTTACAAAGGTAGCTCAGATACATAAGCAACTTCTTTCCGAGCACCGTGTGTGAACAAGCCAGCATGCAACCTTGCAAAGGTGCTTCTAAAATGCTCTTTCCTTAAGCAGCACAGAAGCTGGGCAGATGTGGGCAAAGTGACAGAAAACCTGTCCATCTCCCCTTTCTTTACTTCTCCCTGCTTTCTGGGAGATTGGTCAGGACCCTCCCTTTTCTTAACATTCCTGTCTCTTCTCCTCCTCTGAAATGACCCCAGATGGAGCCCCATCACATCCCCTCAACAGTAAAGGCCGTAGGACTCTCTTACAGCAGCTGGCTTCTTCCTTGCTCTGAAATGTTGAGTGGAGGCCAGAAGGATCCCATGGGGCTGCAGAAGGAGGTGGGCTGAGGTCCCACCAAGTGTTTGAGGCAGTTTGTCCCTGGGAGGGATCCTCATCTGCTGTGGGATGGGGAGGAGGAGACGTCTGTGCCCTGCGTACCACGCGATCCTTCCAGGTTAACAGTAAATGTGTCTTTGCCCCCAGCCTTGTGCGGGTGAATGCGGATGGGCTGGGGGTGCCTAAAGCCTTTGCCCCCCTTGTGCAGCCCGAACTGGGGCTGCCCAGGCGCGTTACCCCGGTGAGGGCCGCAGGGCTGGGCTGTCTGTGATTCGGAGGGATCGTGATGCCATCTCGTGGCAGAAAGAAAATAGAAATTATATTCAGCACATTGGTTATTGCTCTGGCCAGCGCCCAGAGGGGTGCAGATACAAGGCAGCTCTCACCTGTCCAGTTGCTGCAGTCCTTACAACTGGCCATTGTCCCTCTGAGAGCAGGACCCCCTGGTCACAGAATCACAGACTGGTTTGGGTTGGAAGGGACCTTAAAGCCCACCCAGTCCCACCCCCTGCCATGGGCAGGGACACCTTCCACTAGACCAGGTTGCTCCCAGCCTCATCCAGCCTGGCCTTGGACACTTCCAGGGATGGGGCATCCACAGCTTCTCTGGGCAACCTGTCCCAGTGCCTCCCCAACCTCTCCAGGAAGAATTTCTTCCTGATGTCCCATCTCAATCTCCCTCTTTCCGTTTAAGCACATTACCCCTTATCCTGTCTCCAACTGCCCCTTTATAAAGCCCCCCCAACTCCCTGGTAGCCCCCCCAGGCACTGGAAGGTGCTATAAGGTCTCCTTCGAGGCTTCCTTTCTCCAGGCTGCACACCCCACCTCTCCCAGCCTGTTTCCATAGGAAGACCGGTCGCAGCATCTTGCAGCACTAGGGATGGCAGGCTGGGCTCGGGGATGTGCTGGCCAGCCAGCTGCATGTGGCATGGACCGCAAGCAGAGCGTGAGTGAGATCTGTGCAGATCTTGCTTTAAAAGCCGCCTGTCCTGCCCCGAGAAGCTTGCTGTCAATTCAGGCCACTGTGCTGCAAGGCACAAACATGTTTTGCAGCTAGAGGGGAGACCCTCAGGGCCACTGAGGAATGTGGAAATGGTATTTCCACCCCTGAGAGACGATGTTTTCTGCTAGATAAATACACAGCTGAGTCACAGTGTTCTGCCATCGTTTGGCTGCACATATACAGGGGAGGCACCCACTTTCTTTGCAGGGGTACATTCGGCTTTTCAAGTCAGTGTGCGGGGGTGTGATCACTTCCCCCATCTGCTAAGCACAGGCACTTTTCAATGGAATCAGAGAAACCTGTTTTCCTCGGATGTTTGCACCTGGTAGCTGATGGCTGCGGTGGAGGAGCGGGAATTGCGCAGCCTGCTGAATCTGCACGAGGCGGCACTGCCACGGGCCCTGCTCTGCTGCCGAGCGTGCCGGTGCCGACCGTGGTGTCCGGAGGGAGCGGGCTCTGAAGGCTGCTACGCTGTGCGGGAGAGGATCCATCTCTCTCCTTCGAAGCCAAGAGCTGAGAGCCCGTGGCAAGGGGTCGGGTCTGAGGTTCCACCGGTGAATTCGTGCAGCCCAGTCGTGTCCCCCAGAGCGCTGGATTGTTGCTATAGCTGTCTTTTAAGTTCATGTTTTGGAGGGGGCTAGAGAAACAGAAACAGTCCAGGCCTCTCTGAAACCAAAGACAAAAGTCTTTTTTTATTTTAGCAAGGCCAAGAGTTCCTTCATTGAACTGATGTGTCTTGCTCCTCAGTTGCTTCACCTGTCCCTCTATTTACCTGAAGAAGACCCCATCCTGCTGCCACCGCTCCTAGAGTGACATTGCCAGCAGGTGATGCTTTGGGAGGGCGAGAGGTGAGAGGCTCAGGGTTCAAGGCACTAAGCAGAGGGACAGCATCAGTGGCGCTGTGGTGGAAACCTTTCACTGAGCCCCTGCAAGCAAGAGCTGAAGACATAAAAGTGAAAAACCAAGGCTATGCCCCGGACTGACTAGTAGCCCATAGCTGAACACAAAGGGAAAGCTCTTTGCCCTGGAGAAACCATGCTGCAGGTGTGGAGGGTCTCCTGTTGGGCTGGTTTTCACTAGGAGGAGGGTATACAGAACCTCTCACTTGTGAGATGTAAGTAAATACAATATCAATCCCTCAATATCAGAAGGATATTGACCACTTGGAGCGAGTCCAGAGGAGGCCACGAGGATGATCAGAGGGCTGGAGCACCTCTCCTATGACGAAAGGCTGCAAGAACTGGGATTGTTCAGCCTGGAGAAGAGGAGGCTCCGAGGAGACCTCATTGCAGCTTTCCAGTATCTGAAGGGCCTACAAGGGTGCTGGGAGAGGACTTTTTACAAGAGCCTGTAGTGATAGGACAAGGGGGAATGGGTATAAATTGAAATCAGGGAGGTTTAGATTAGATATCAGGAAGAAGTTCTTCACAGAGAGGGTGGTGAGGCACTGGAACAGGTTGCCGAGAGATGTTGTGGATGCCCCATCCCTGGGAGTGTCCAAGGCCAGGCTGGATGTGGCTCTGAGCAACCTGGTCTAGTGGAAGGTGTCCCTGCCCATGGCAGGGGGGTTGGGACTAGATGATCTTTAAGGTCCCTTCCAACCCAAACCATTCTATGATTCTATAAAATTACGATATTTGTTGTCACTCTGGGCTCAGGATCAGCCTTCATGACATTTGCGTTTCTGTATAATGCAAAGTAGGGTGGCAGGCTTATGAAATATAATGAAGACATGGGATTAAATCTTTATTGGGTTCCCATGAAGAGGGAAATAAACAATATGATAAAGCATATGATAAGAAAATGCATATGGAGAAGTGGCAATTCACAGGCAGATAAATGGTTGAAAACTTGCCTGAGCTATATATCAACTGGCATAAGATTGAGGAATGTGATGGCAGGTAAGAGTGCTACAGACAGAGACAACAGCCAAAGGTACAGAGGAAAGGGAAACAACCAAAGCCGGGTCTCATCTGATCCCTGAACCCAGTTCTCCTTGCATGTGTGTGCGCAGTGCAAGGACAGTGGAATTACACACCATCTGCAAGGGAATTGGGTGGCTGGTCCCGATGGCCAGCCCAGCCCCGATACCAGACTGACTGCTGGTGTTGGCTCTTAACGTTAACCGGGAGGTCTGAAGAGAGGAGCGGTGTTTGCTCCTGTTTAACAAGGTCAGGAAAGACAGATGCACAAAACTAGAAATAGGGCTAGTTTATTTTTCTGAATCATTAGCCTTTTATGATTGATCGCTGGTACGAATCTCGTGGCTTTGTGATTTAGACTGCGAACTTAGAAATGTAGGTCTTGTTTCGTTCAGACTGTGAAGCCGTGTTGAACTTGGTGGTAGCAGCACTTGCTTATCTGAACAGGTTCGCAGACTCTGGGGCATCTTTCAGGACGGATAGTGTTCCAAGGCAGAAATAGCTTCTTCCTCAAATCAGATGAATCAGTCTGGCTTTTTCACTCTCAGTGTTTGACCTGATTTCCTAGCCGGGTAGGATTTTGCTAGAAGCTATGGATAACTGGGGAGCTTGGAAAAGTTCAGGATGTAGCTATGGATGATTCAAGTGTGTGACCCACAGTGTATTTCTGTGGTTTCCAGCAAACACTGGTGCGTCTTTCCTCAGGATTTCATGCAGATTTCTGTGATGTTATGAACATCACTGGGAGCCTGATCCAGCCCACTCATGGGCTGCATCCCATTCCCCAGACCACCTCCCTGGTCCCTGCATCAGCTCCAG